AATTATATTTCCGACTACTGCATAGCGCCGCGAATATCGCGTTTTTCACAGAAACTCCAATACACTAAGAACCATTTATAATATTTCACATTATCATTCATATACTATCTTCATTTCAAGATGAGAGCATTCATTTACACAGTTTCGGAAGATCCTACTTCTACTGCTTCCCCACGAGTTGGACACTCCATCAGCCGATCAGCTTCCTCGACAGTGATGTACCTCTCAGTGAGGAAGGGGTCTCGGTGACGATCCACTCCAGCCTGATAAGAACTCTCGATATCGAGCTTGTGTGTGGAGGCCACGACGACCCACGCAGTCATCTCTATTAGAAGCGATCATTCGTGTGAGCTCCTCGTTGAGATCTTCCTCGCCAACCGCGATGACATGTGTCATGAGTTTCCAATACAGCTACACTCACTCAATCAACCTTCACTGACTACTTGTCAAACAACACATACCGTATATACATACAACTTCTTTTTCCCACATATTTCCATTTATCCAAAACTCGGAATAATTCGCGCCATTTAAACCATCGGCGATGTCAACAGAAATTCTACGACTACGAAAGTAATTTCAAATTTCAGGATGATTCCAGTAAACACCCGAGAGTTGCTTATGCGCCACAACTCCGACGGCACCACGTGAAACGGTGATACACCAACACACAACATAATGAATGTCATTTCCACGCATTGTATTGCTTCTTCCCCCCTTCCCCAAACCGGAACCTAAAGTGAAGCTATCAAGCTCATGCCGTTGGTATGCCTCTCACCCGCACCCAGCGGTGCATATCTCCATACACTTCGCTGAGTTTCCTGGTGATCCCGGAGATCTGAGGGCACCGAAAAATAAACATCAAAAATTTTTCGTTTAAATACATGGGCAAGGACTCAAAGACTGAACTTGTTGTCGTTGTTGTTGATGATGATGATGATGATGATGATGATGATGATGATGTTCACTGACCTGTCGAGCACCACATAGTTGATATTAGTGTTGGTATCCTCAACAATGCTGTCCTTGAAACACAGTCTGAGGCAGAATTCCTCACACCCTCGCATATCCCGGATCTCGTTGTCATCCGCTGCACAGGCCTTCTGACAAAATCTGAACCGCATCAAATCATACGAACGACTTGACGCCATGTAGACAAGCATTATGGGGAAACATTGACATGCTCAACGACGTGTGTTGGTGATGATGTGAAAATTCTGAAGGAATTTCGGGAAGTTCTGCGATTTTTTTTCATCCATACGAGCTCGGGAAAAAACCAACAAGAATTTCCCATGTTGACTATGTGCGCATTTGCTCACACTGCTGACAAAAAAAGTCATATTAGAAATACTCATCTGCAGTGTGGTAAAATATGCACATGGTCAACTACGTGTGTGGCCTAAATTCGGGTAATTCTCATTGGTTTCTGTGCATTTCTATCCTAATTCGTATATAAACGCTTATTCGAGTAAGGAAAATCCGGACTCACTCTTAAGATCAGCTGAGGGGAAGCAAACATATACTCCAACGCTGCTCATCTGGATTCGCCCCCGAAAAGTATTATCACCGTAGCAGTGCTATAGATGATGCTCACTACACTTACAGGCGGTAGGTATATATATCGGTGAATTTATCCGAGTCGCTAACATCAGATACCGTGTTGCATCTACCGATACAGGTGGTCGGGTCGGGCATGAGTTCTGTAAAGTAGTCCCGTAGGAAGGCCAGAGGGGAGCTCATCAGAAACAACAATCTCCACTATTCCAGACCCGCGTTGACAAGTAGATAATCGTTGGGCAGCCTGAGTCCAAATACACTGAACCCTAAACGGCACAGCTTTCTACTATCACTCCACTGTTCCTCGACCCCAGCGACTGATAGTCGTGATGATTGACAATAGTACTGAACTCAAGATTGGAAAGGAGGGCTCTTCCGGCAGTCCGTGGTAAGTAGTCGGCAATTCAACGAAGTCTCACAGCAGCCCCACAACAGCAGCAACAGCAGCAACTACTACTACTACTACTACTGCTGATGGCTGACGATAAGAATGTCGTATTGTAAGTATTGCATTGATGAGTCCTCTAAACACCCCTTTAGAAGAGTGCAGCAGCTAGCTCAGGAGGGATACCACCTTCCTTGTACATAGTCTCGAAGTTTTGGTAGATGGTTGTGACAGCAAGGATAATACCTACACAAGAGTCAGTGGACAGCCAATGGTGTTGCCAGTAAGGTCGACGCCCTTACCTGCACCGCTTCCTACAGCCCCAAGGAGCTCTCCAGTCACTGCGATCGCCCCGACCACAACGCCGCCAACAACAGCACAAGGCGTGATGTATTTATCCAGGACCTTAGGGGGGAAATAATACAACGCCTCCTATTGAGAGGAACTAGGCTCACTGAGATGACGGTGGAGTCTCTGTAGCCACGCATGGTCATCTGCTGGTCCTTGAGCTGACGAGCGATGTCTCTAGCACCGGTCCCTGATACCTATAAACGACATGTGGTGGGATAGAACCAACTACCTTAGCATGTATAGCACAGCATTCTACTGACTAGACTAAACCACCACTGCTTACATTGAGCCACATTCTAGAAGCGATACCGCAAGAGATCGGCACCGAGGAGACGAAGATGATCAAGTTGATGGGGTCGGTGAATATCGATACGGTAGATTGAGGCGGTGAGAAGTAGTAGGCCAGGCCGGCAATCTAAGAACGGAGGAATATCCACAACTATAGGGAAGGGGAATCAATGAGAGTACTACCGGTCGGGCGAGCCCAGTGAACTCACTGTATTCCCATTTGCCCAGGAATCCAATGACCTTCATCTCGGGGAACCTGATTAAAGATAAAATAGTAGTGCCAGGGATCGAACCCGCGACCTACATAGCGTAGAGGATCTGGGATAGCAGATAAGCATTGGCCAGACAAGTAGCGTAGATGATGATGGGCATACCACCAGTGTAGAAGAGCTTAATAGGGTACATGCCGGCATGAGACCTCGCTTTAACGTGCTTCACGGGGAGCTCCACTCGGAACACCTGGTCATGACAAAATAGAAATAACCACTCCATCTCTGATGGGAAACTACCTGGAAGTAGTTGACCAAGGCGAAGATGAACACTGTCGCCAAGAGAGTAATAATATTGCCCGCACCGCTACGGAACATAGCCTCCTTAAGGCCACTGATACCATCTCTGAACGTGAGCTGGAACAAGGCCAGCACCACACCTAATGAGCACCATGCACCAACATCACTACAACTGCTGTGTGCATACCTTCCTTCTCCGGGCCGCGACCAACATCGATGGTCTTGAAAGACAAACCACTTGATAAGATCTGTTCACATACGCTCATGGCAATGAACGTGTTAATACCGGTGGCACTGAATTGAAGTTGATGCTATACTGTGAAGGGAACAGCAGTCAATGTGGTACCCAAAGCCATATCCCTTCTGAAGGAGCTCATCCATAGACATCACTGCGATACTTGAGATAACCATCTGGCCCACTAGGAGACCCGCATTGAGACCACCTGAGGTGAAGTCATGGAGAGAGTGCCGCCCTCATGTGCATTACCAATGGCCGATATAGGGCCGAAGGCACCGGCACCGACAAGGAGAGAAGCTTGGACTAATGCAACGAGGACCACGACGACCTTTTGAGCACCTGAGCAGACGTTGAGGGGTCGCTACAAGGTAGGAGGATCCACCTTGGAACAAAGCGCGGTCCTCCTTCCTGCTGAGATCCGCTGAGATGAGCCTTGAACCGTAGAGGAACTGCATTATCATACCGGCGGTTAGTACGGGGGCCACACCTGCGAGTCAGGGTCATGATATACCCGTGATCTATCTCCTACCTAGCTCCCTCAGTGAACCCTGTTGGCTGCCCATGAGAGTCCTAAGCCAGTAGAAGGGGTCAACAGTGGACCCCTTCCCCATGCCGTATAATCGGATTTCCCCCATCACCATGAACATGAATAAGCAAGTAGCAGTCCATACCATCTGAAACGTCGAAAGACTCTAGTGATATAACAAGGCCAGAAGGGCTACCCTCTCGTTGAAAGGGATTCTCCTGTCGGGAGTTGTGGTCTCGGGCAGGAGCCGCATAACGGGTCGGAAAACATCCAAGAACCTCATTGCCGGTGAAAAATAAACTGAGGAGCACAGCAGGTCCTACTATGACGAGTTTATCCATCCTTGAACTCTCATACGTACACAGTCTCTTTACTGCGATAGCATCTCATGCGACACTTCAGCTCATACAGTTATCCAGAATTTCCGACGTGGAGATACGATTAAAACAAGGTCTGACGTTAACGAACGTATTCGAAGTTCAGATACCTAAGATGGGTTAAGCTGAGAGGATGACGCCCACCGTAATCCCGTCATCGAAGGTTACTGAGGACCAGGGAGCCCTTCCACTTCTGTTGTAGCTAACCGATTACTCAGCTATGCGCTCACTCCCAAACCGAATGAACTATCGAATCGTTCGCAGCAGAGTCAGCTGGACGGCGTATACGGTCCGAGAGGCCGGAGCCGACGCCTTCGGCAATCTCTTGGTTGTTGCTCACAGCCGGCACCGCTCAGCGAAAAATTGCGACTCGAGGGACATACCGACAATCGAGGGCTCTCAGCAATAGCGTGAAGAATGTTAGAAATCTACGGGCGACAACCAAACGTCAATAACAAACGGTCCTGTAGCTCAGTGGTTAGAGCGACGGTCTTATGAGCCGTAGGCCGCGGGTTCGACCCCCGCCGGGACTATATTCTCTCTGAGGTCTAAAGTTCATGTTTTTGCTTGTGAAGCGAACACTTTTGCCATGATGTCGACTTGTATCACCCTTCTTCGTTCCTTATCCCGCTTCAACAACAACACACTCTTCTTACCTTCTCAGTTTGGTCCGTATCGCCTGATGGCTGCATCATCATCTTCGTCTGGAGTTCGGAGCTCCTTGATCAAAAAGTTGGACAACTTCGAGGCCCAGCTCTCGAGTTTAGAAGACCATCTGAAACCATTGATGGACACCGACTACGAGGAACTGATGTCGAAGATGACACGTAATAGCCGGCACTCAAGGGGAGGGGTAACGCAGCTCGGCTGGCCTGAGAACATCAGTCCTATAATATGAGAGACACGAAAGTCGACGAATTTTTCTCTCAAAGTGATACTGTGATACTACTTCGAAACTGCCGTCATAACAAACTTTTTCGGGTAGCATTGGGTATCTCAGAGCTATATCAAGTCTTGTTGTTCCTCTCAGCATTGGAGCAGAGCGAGCTTAACGTTTCGCTGGCCTTTACCACGGCCTCGTTGTACTGGATGTTCCTCAAAACCCAAGGCACTGATGTGAAGACACATAAGATCAAGGATGAGATTGTACGATTAGCTGCAGCACTCGTCATTATCACTGTGGCGTCAATGAACTATACGCGATATATCCTCAGGACCGGGTCAAGTCTTACATGGCACGAATCAAGAAGGCCTCGGAACAGGAGGATGCGAAGAGTAGTACCATGGGATCGAGGCAAACCATAGGCGCTCAGATTACTTGTCGTTGTTTGTGTCGGGGGGGGCAACTCTATGAATGGACGCCTTGTTTTTATTAGCTCGCAAACGCGATGTAGTCTTGAACAAGGACGCTGCTGCCCGCATTGTGAAGGCTCACACGACAGAGACAACAGTGCAAAGCAGTAGCAAGCGCAAGGCTGAAGAGGCCAAGCAAGAGAAGGATGAGGAGGAACCCAAGACAACCTCGGGCAAGCAGGCAAAGAGGTGTAAGAAGAGCGCGTGAGTACAATGATGCTGGTTCCCTACGTCTACTAGATCGAGGAATCGCCCGTTACTCTGGATTGGCGTTTTCGATCCAACGTTGGGAAGTGCTGCGTTGAGTCGGTATCAATAACGCTTCCAGTCAGAATTGCTTGATGCCCATGTCTGATTGGAACAGTGATGAATGTGTGAACTCATCGATGGTACTGGCGACAGTATGTTTGTTAATGGCTATCATCATGCCGCTATTACGTATGCGGGAGAGCCCATGAGGTACTACAGGCGGGGTATTACCTCAAATTCACTAACTCTCTATGACATGTGTCTCTGTTTCAAAGGCTATGCTGTGATCTGAACTCTGTACCCCGAGAGACCGGATGAAGTAAGTCCGTTCTCATATGTACTAGGTTGAAGACGAGACTCTGAGGTCAAGCAGCAAGAGCTCCCGACAGCAAGAGCCGCCAGCATGGACTGCTGTGGTATTGGAAGGAGGCCTGCTCATTACAGAGAGGCAAGAGACCATGACGAGAAGCTTGAAACTGTCTGTTCTCCACGTCTGTGTAGTCTGCACTCGGGAGTCTCTATGATAGACTGCTTGGTGCTCTCCTGGTTGACTTATCGGTATTTAGAGTAAGCTCTCTCTGTATTCGACTGTGAGATGGCATCATGCTCACTGCTCCGATGACTAACCCGACCACGGTAATGGGGCATTTCAATGGTCACTACGCTCCTTCGCAAGACTAGACGCCAACGGCGAGGGATCGCCAAGCAGTAATAGGATGTAGTGCTGACTCTTCGAGCATTCGTTTGTCCGCTTATCGGCTCTGTCTTATGCTCCCCAGGGTCGACTTGATTATAAACGCTAATTATTACGCTAGTTATCTCCCAATCCACTCCGGCATTATCCCTCTGGGTCAAGTCGGAGCGGCAGCCTGGCCGAGTAGTCAGCCGTCCCTGTTGCCCTACTGAGTCACCTCGAAGGCTGAGGTTCGATTCCCACCGAGGTTATCTGACGGATACCGGGCTGTGTGTGCATGTTTACGTTATCATCTTTGCGGACATCAGGCTGTTCGCATGTCTCCATCATAGCGCAAGACTGCACTCCTTCTACTTCCTGGTCATTATTGTGTTGCCTCCGTATCTTCATTCTAACTCTACCATGAAATTAATAGCATGCCCCCCATCGTTCTTTTGTCGATAGGTTCAGATTGAGTTGGTATGAACTCAATCACATCAGGAGTGTGATTTTCGTAGGTGTTATATTTTAACATCTATTATGTATCCGACCCCTGGTATCCTCCCAACAGCCAATAACTTGGGTCAGCAGCCCATGCACGCTATCCCGGGCAACCTGGCTAAGCCCACCACTAAGGCCGCGCAGGATGCCTCTATGGAGAAGAGCTATACTCGGTAGGACCACCTTAGCCGCCCTAGTACTTGGGGTGACCTCTCCTCTCAGAGTTTGGGTTGGAGGCCTCCCTCGGAACACGTCCGTCGAGAACGTGAAGGAAGAACTGCAACGTATCTTTTCCCAGTATGGTCAGGTCTCGGACATATGTGTGATCACCACTGCTAGAGATGTAGCCTTTTCCTTCTTCGGCTCTTCGCTGTGGCTCATGGTCCTCTGGTATCCTTAGGTGATGGCCTTCATTCAGTACGGAGTCGAATCGGATGCCTCTAGGGCTCAGGACGAGATCAATGGCACGTACATCCTAGGGTCGCGTGTGAAGGTGATGATAGAGTGTTGTCGGGATTATGAAAGGCAAACAACGATCAGGTCAACTACGCAGTCATTCGTGGGTCGGCAGGGGCTCCTCAAGGGCCGGGGGCTATACAGCAAGAGAAGGATGCGAAGAGGAAGCGACGCCGGTGAGGTCCTCTGCCAGGAGTCCGGCTGCTCGGCCTTCTCCTATATCAGAGGATGGAGAGAGGAAGTGTTTTTATTATTCAGAATACCTCGGGAAGGCTCCGTCTTTGAGGTTATCGTAGTGGGCTTCCCGCAGGACATTACTGAGGATGAGTTGACGAGGATTGGAGAGCAGTACCAAAGTAAGCAGTAAGGGCCAGTCGGCTCCGGTATTCATCGTGTCGATCTTGAGATGTTGTCACTTCCGTTCAGGTCGCGATATTGAGAGTCTTCAGCTTGTATCGAAGTGGACTGATGGAGACGACAAGAAGTACATCGTTTTATCTATCAATTCTGTGTTAACCTGTATTACAGGAACGACCAGTCGACGAAGTCGTCCTCCCCTACATGCTTCTGCCTCCTATCCTATTCTGTACGCCGTGATGCAGTACGATGTCGCCGAGAGCTGGATGGTGCTTATTTCGAGGGCGGTGACAGCAACAAGAAGGATCGATATAGGTGGGTACCGTTATTGGTCTTTGCCGTTTCACAAAGCCTCTTGTGTCAGACTGTCCGCCTATACTCTACGGCAATACAATGCCAAATACGCCCGATAAGATCGTGCTCGATCACGTAGTCGAGAGAGGTGAGGATCCTCGCGTTATCTCTCATTGATCGGCTCTGTTTCAGCTCTGCCAGTCGGGAGT